TTCCTTCTAGAAAATAGCTTTGTGTATTCTCATTAAGACATTTGCTGGTAATGAAGAGAAAGACACTGGAAACTTTTTAGAGGTTATCTAATTTAGGTCAGCAGCTATGTCTTATAAATTAAGGCAAAGGGATATGCAGGTTATGAGGGGAGCTCAACTATAACATYGTTCTTGCCCATTAATGATAAAATGCATGAATTTAATTGAATAAGAGGTTATTTCTCCAAAACTGTTCATTAAAATCTGGACCGGTGGAGGAAAAGGGCAAGAAAGTTTTTTTCCTGCTACTGAATGAGAATCATTCTAAATAACAGATGCTCCAGCCAATTTAAAGACTAAATTCTCCCCTCTGATGCTCACTACACTGGTTCTTTTAACTGTGGTTTCTAAACATGATAAAGATTTCACTTGACATGGCTAAGAGAAATCCTGAACTCGCTAAGACTGAAAGAGATAAAATATCTGCTAAAAAGACCTGAGAGAAAAATATCACTTTATATGGTTCTTAAATATTTTAAAACAGCACCTTCTTCTCAAGCTATGAACAGATGGACAATTCATGGTGAGATGGGCAAAGACAGTATCAACTCAGGGAATGCCAGATGCTTTGCTGTAGCTGTCTGCATGAGGTGGTTTTCACTTCAGCATAACAGCATGCTATGAACAGTTATCACAGAGTACCTGACACATGGGATGAGTTTGCATTTGATCTTGTTTCACCATGTCTTACATGTTTATAAGCAAAATAAACATAAGAACTTAGTCAAAACTTCCAACACCTTCAGACAAAACAGTTACCGTATCAGGGTAAATACACTTAAATTACTCCAGGAAAAWTCAGAAATTGAAAAATCTGCCAGAAATTTGGTGAATTCATAACTAAAATCAGAACAAACCCAAATATCAGGAAAACAGAGTTCCAGCCTTCATTGTAGAAATGGAAACTATGTCTCAATAATTCATGTTTTCAATATATTAATAAAGTAATAAGCACAGCATTTATTGAATGGTTTAAATAGACCTTAAGTTTCAGAAAAAATAATTACTGCAGAAGCCCAATAGTTGCTGCCTAAGACTTACAGTATTAAAGAATATAAATATTTTGTTAGGAAGCAGAGAGGAATTAATTAATTTTCATCTTGCAGCTTGTTTACAGAATAATTGCTTATGGTTGATATGGTCAGTATGGTTTAGAATCATGTCATATTCCTTAATTAACAGGAAAAGATAGAAATAATAATTTAATTAAATTTTCAGATKACAAAATCAGTTAAAGAATTCAGGATCAGAAGGGGCTGTGATGCATTGAATTTACAAGGTGAACAGACAGCATGATGGCAAAGAAAATTTAGTGTCAATAAATAGAATGTGATATATAGTAGTAGGAAAATATTAAAGAAAGATTTATCTCTAAATTAACTGTTTCAGGAAGGTACCTAGGTATTGCTGCAGRCAAGTCAGTGAAGGACCTTCTTCCATATGTAAATGCATTAGGAAAAATGCATATRGTGTTCTAAAATATTGAATAAATCAAAGATGCATCTTGTCTAGAGTGTTGTATACAAAATTATGTGATAATATGGCACTGGAGTGGAAAAGGAAAAAGCAACAAAACTCTCATATGAAGCGAAATAGGAGAGATTTAAGATTTCCTTTGAGATTAATTAGCATGATCATGATAAGACTGAAAATCACAAATCTAAGTCAAGGGCTCTTTAGAAATGACACAGAAGAACTGGGTATCTTTATGGAAATGTAGTTTTCAGAATTAATTATTGTAAATTTAGAAATAAAGTGAAACTTCATGTTTTAGTATGGAAACCAATTGCTTCTTATAAGAAAATAAAGGGAGGATTTGTAGAASAAATCACTTCTGTATCAGTATTCAGCCTAAATGTCTGTTTCTGACCATTGCTGGGTAATAAAGCCATATGAAAAGAACTATTGTTGAATAGGAGCAAGCAGTTTTCAAGATTTTTGTTGTTTTCAAAATATCTTCATGATTTCTGAAAGGTTTGTGCTTGCTCAACAGCTCAGAAAAAAAGTCATTTGAAATCACCACTATGTATGAGATTAAAGGACTGCAGGTGATCCAGGTTCAAGTTTCTGATAAAAACCCAAAACAACAGAACAGTCCTAAATCTGATTTTTTTTTTTCTTTTTTTTTTTTTTTTTTTTTTTTTTGCCTCCTTGAAAACACTGAAAACTACAAGAGTTTTCTGACGTTTCCTCCACTGGAAATTTAGCTTTATTTTCCCACACTACATAAAAATAATTTAAACAAGGTCTACCGTGGCTTGTAACAGCTCCTTTTCTTCCTATTCAYACAAAATAAATAACTAAAATATGGCAATGCTCATTTCTGGTTTCTGGAATAGTTCATGATCTGGATTTATGATCCSAGAATATGGTATGTATATTCTTGATAAATGTGTTTTGCTTTGTATCCTATCTATAGTAACTGGAAATGTGTTATTGGATTTGGATAAATCTAGAAAAGACAGATTGTGATTTAAGGCTGCTGATGTAGTATTCTTTGAACAGCTTCCTGTATACAAATTTCTAATTCAAGGACTTCAAGACAAGTCTCATCAGTATAGTGCAAAACAAGTTGACTTAAGAATTTGTTCTTTCCCCAGATAATCAAGGTTAGAAAGTACATGACCAAGAGCCTCTTTCATATCAGAGCATCACATTTTCTAGTTCATCATTCTACTTTATTTCATATCTTTCCCTCCTTGGCTACCATTTATTATTCAGCAGGTAATCTGGCTTTTTATTACCAGAAAACCAAATTCCTTGGTAAACCATCCATCTTTTTGCTGCTTTTCAGATTCAGACACATTGCTCAGCTTCTGAAAGAGCAATGTAAAGGACGGTGTTATGCTCTTTCTCAGTTATTCTTTGCCATTTTATGTCTGATCAACAGACTTGACCAGAGCAATGCTACTGGCAACAGTAGTCAGAAYGAGGTCTCTTCTGTCTCTTGAGATTTGTTGAGTATTTACAGTGCATTCCATCAGAAAAACTGTGGCCAAGGTGAGAGTTCTGACAGCTGTCACAGCAGGATATAATTGCATAATAGAAATGAGCCAGCTGTAAGTGCAGCAGCAGGGCTGGGATGGCCAGGCTCTGCCTCGGGAGCAGAAGCAGGGTGAGCCACATCCCATAAACTGGCAGTGCAGAAGTCAGGAGGATCCCAGAGGTGCACTGCACCTTCCCCTATAACCCCTGCCAGGAGTCTTGATATTTGGGGTTACTGGTGATCTGAGAGTCCCTTCAATACAATTCAAGCGGCTGCTTTTGGTCACTGAGGCTCCTATAGTAGTTTCTGGGGGTAAAAACTATTAAATCTTCTATAACAGTTTGTGAAATTAGCATTTCACAGCTTTGATACACACCTTACCTAGAAAAGAGAAGTGATTGCAAAGAGGACCAGATCCTGGAAACCTTGTGCCAGTTTTTCACCAATTCTAGTTATGAAAATATTTTCATTTTTTACTGCCAGGCACATCTTTGAGATGCTTAAAATTCATCCAATTCTCGAAGGAGAGTAAGTGGTAGAAAACATGAAAAATCTTTGAAATCAGAATATTTTTGCCACAGGTCATTGTTAAATAACATTTCAGTAGTTCAAGGTTTAACCGTTTCTTTCTAGGTATGTTTTATCCAAATGTACCAACAGTTTGAAGTACAATGATTTCTCATCTGTAAACCCTGAAGAGCCAGAGATCAGCACCCAAACCCAAAATGCAAATGTTTGAAACTACTGGRGATTATCTATCATCCTCTGACCTCATGACCCTTGATCTCTGTCCTGTACCAGGGCACATTCTCCAATAAAGGGCAGAGTTATGTTTCTGCCTATTTCATTTCCAGTTCCATTCATACTGGCAGCCTGGTGCTGAACACCCTTTTTTGGGACGTGAGAACTCTGAATCTCAATTCTTCTCTGCTCTTTTGCCTGTAAATGCTAGTCTAAGGCAGACACTTACTAAGGCCACTTCTAACAGACATGTTCCAAAATAATGTGACATCTGTAACTACATTTTTAGAAGCTTCTGTCCTATAAATGTAGGCTGGGGAATGGGTAGTGCAAGGATTTTGAATGGATTTAATTATAAGCTTGGCTCATCTCCATCATGGTTGCAGTCATCTGTAAATGCAGGTAACTCTCATTTTAGCCATCTCAGCCCTTTCAGTAAAATTTTGTTATGATTTCACAGTATACCCATTGTAGATGTATGCAATGCKTTATTGGAATACCAGACTAAGTTTTAGGGGATTTTTATTCTGTATTCAGAGTTTGAATATTGGTTGCACAGCACAGCTTCCACTGAGGAACCAATTTCAGGTTTTTAAAACAGGGCTTAAATTTTAAAGTATCAGTTTTCTCCCAGTCTCATTCCTCTCTTCCTTCCAACAAAAATCATGGTATGGGATTTGGAGGTGGGATTGCTGGATAAGCAGGTTTTGTAAATCCCAATCTTTAGCAGAGGCTTAGAAATGTGAACATAACTTCAGGTAGTTTTTTACTGCAGATTTTATGCATCTGTGTAAGACTACAAGTTCTAATAGCAAAAAAAAGTGCATATTTATCTGAAATTGATGATGTTTCATAACCTTCGTTTATGCTCCCTTTACCTCTTCACACCTTCCCATCTCAGTCTGTCTTTCTCCTCCATCACTGATTCTGAAATATTCACTCTTTGACTCTCTCTGCCACTATCAATGTCTGGGAGAAAGGATGACTGCGATGGAAGKTGTGTGTGAGAATACAGAAAGCTGGAATTTGCTCTCATCAATAGCAGAACTGGGTGTSTGTGAGGAAATACTTCCATTTCTTCATTTGGCAAAGAATTTTTTTCCTATATGGCAAAATATATGTATGGTTTCATATATGTACACTAAAAGGCTCATATGTAGATGTTTGAATTACTTTTACTGACACTGTTATTAACTTCAATTTTGAAAACACTGTATTTTTGTTTCCATTTCAGCTGCAGTGAAAAAGGAGGGGGAGAAGAAAGGTAAATCAATCTTTGCGCTTGACTGAAATGTCTTTCAGGCTGTGACTGCTGTGAGAAATGTTTGTTTCGTTCAGTGATACAATTGTGATGATATACAACATTGTGATGATGCACCACCTCGTGTGCTGCCATCAGCCAACTTTATCTGCTCCCACCCTGATAACACTGTTGTCATTTCCACTGTAGGCAGCTCCTTTTTAAAACAGGCCAGTACAGACCTCTATCAGACACTTCATCATCCTGGCTGGGAGGGAAATGAAAGGCTTTTGTTTCCACGCTAGAATTTGTCAAAGAGAACAAAACTTGGGTGCACCATGCATGCTGACCTGGCTTCTTGTTCTTTGCAGAAGCTGCTTTTCCAGGCAYGTTTAATTTCCTCTTTTCAGATATACAGGGAGCATGCATGTAACTTCTGCTGGAGCCATTATCCAATGTTTTAACAGATTAGAGGAAAAACTTGCCCAAAATCAGAACCTAAAACATTACTTTTATTTAAACATAAKGTATTTATCAGACCCTAAATAAAATGCCTATTTATAGCGTTGTCTTTCACAATAAGATGTGCTAATTTAACACTTTTTTTCCTRATTTTCTGATTTTATTCAAACAGCAAAAATAATGAAATATTAACACTGACRTGGTATTTTTTAACCTATTCCCCTTTATTGATTATCTGATCTATAAATCTTGTCTTCCTCACTAAATGGAACAATTTTCAGAATATTTCCATCTWTTTCTTAGGATTATTTGAGATGTATGTTTTTATTTAACTAGGAAAAAAATTATAGCTCTTTATTACTGATGGGAGATTGGGGGGAWGGAAGGGATAGGGCATATCTTTTCCCATTTGGAAATTCTGTGATTCACATAACTGGACAGTGGAGCCAACCTTTACTGTCTATACATGCAGACATTTTCAATTCTACTAATTTTTTTTTCCTATTATCCCCATACAGAGCTGCTAGCTGAACCAGAAAAAAAAAATTATAGTCTCAACTGTTTTATCAGCTCATGAGTGAAATCTTGGCTGTGTTGATGTTAGTGGCAAAATTCCCACTCACTCCTCTGAAGCCAAAATTTCACTTCATGTCTTTAACARAATCATAAAATTCATTTCAGTTATCAAAAACAACCATGCTTAATGGGTATCAAGCAGGATATTTTGTCCAAAGATTAATTTGCAACAACTGAGGCGTGAAAGGTAGCACATGAAGCAGAGAGAATCAGAAAACTGGCAGCTACACTTAGAGCCATTGGTTTTCAGATATCAAAATGCCTGCTGTGTTCAAAAACATGAACTGCTACATCCTTAATGGATAGAAAATAGTGAGGYAATAGTGTTAAGGGTGCTACTTCTCTCACCCTTGCTACAGATTATGGGCCCATTCATTTACAGAAGAACATCAAGGGAATCTGTTTTAAATACCTAGTGCTCATTTTTTACCAGTTAGGATTTTCTTCCCCCTTAACCATAACCTTCCCCAACATAACTGATTGAAAAATGCATTTTTAATGAAAATTCTTTGAAGTTGGATCAATTTTTCCATTTCATGTTCTTTTCTATATTTCTCCTGCTTAAAAAAATTTCCTTTGATTTCTTAGTTGAAAGGATTTTGCAACAAGTATATGTAGGATACTTTCAAGTACCTGACTCAAGCTGTATCTCATCCTGCTGGTTACCACCAACCTATTTCACAGAAACATGGAAGTATGAACTGAAAATCAGCTTTAGTCATTTTTCTGATATCATCCCTTTATTTATTTTTTTCACATCAAACCTCCCTCTGGTTTTCTGAGATCATAACCAGCATTGTCAGCAAGGAAGGTAGTGATTCTAGTGGAAAAAAAAAATGCCAGAACAATAAAATCTTCCAGTAACTAAGGAAAACTGGTCCAGCTGTTCCTGCCTTCAGTAGATATGCACTAAACTGAACAACTGGAGACAAGTAATAAGCCCTCTTCCAAAAAATGAACATGCTGTGCTTTAGTTGCCATGCTTTCTTCTCTGGCTTCCCCCTCTCTGCAGGCCCCACATGGAAAATATTGCATGCTACTGTCTAACTCCTAATATGATTAGGTTTTATTTATTTCTGCTTATTCTGTTGTCACAAGARATTGCTCTAGGCTGCATGTGTATTCCTCTGACTGGCAATAAAAAGAGGGTAATGTTCACTGGTTTTGCTTAAGGATACAGTATTTTTTTGCACAGCTGCAAAAATAATAGAAGTGGCCAGGCAGTGCTCTAAATTGACTGGMTCATTATCCAAAATATATTGTGGTGGTAGCATGCACAGTTCAAACAGCACTTTACCATTTCTCATATGAATCATACAGCACTCAGGAACTGTACTCTACACGAAGCTTTCTCCAATTATTTTGCTGTATTCAAATACACATCCCTCATCTAGAAAAACAAGAATAATGAGCCATACAGAGTGACAAGCCATCATAARAGAGAAGAAGATGGAATGACGCGATCGGTCGATGGTACATTCTGTGCATAGCATAAATCAGACTTGAAGGAGCTGGAAAGAGACAGAAAAGAACAAAATTAAGATGGAGAAAGATTAGATATTGTGCTGAATTCTCCAGATATGAGTGATACTAACAGGAACCTTAAGACACAATTAAAGCATGAAATTTTGGCATTCACTGTTTCTCTTTGAAAGGTTAGCTCTCTTGGACTTTGTGACCAAAGTCCTAGAAAATAGTCAGCTTTACCTTCCAGCATCATGCAATGCCTTCTTTCAACATGTGTGGGATAGAAAAGCTGTCATAGGAATGTGTAAATGTTGTCAATTCCAAAAGGGCAAGAGGCAGAAACCTTTGCATGAGGAAGGCACTTCCTAAATCTCCCAAGAGCAAATCTGGCTTCCAGTACACAAAAAATTTTAACTCTTGCTAATAATTCAAAGCACTGTGAGCAAGGATTCAAGTGAATTGAGTAAGACCCAGGTATTAGCGAAATGATATAAACCCTATCATTTCCAGGACATGTCCAGAAAACAGTAAACAGAACTGTAACATTTTGTAATATTTCAGCCTTTTTTTCACATTTAATTGCCATGTTAAATGAAAGATATATAAATAATATTTATTTGTGTAAACCAAAACAGTGTTTTTGTATTTCAAAAATATTTTGTAATTATCGAGAATTTCAAAATTACTTTTCTTTTCAAAAAAGACACAGATTAAAGAAAATGTCAAGTTTTCCTGGTTCTGCAGAAATTGAATTTCTCACTTTAATTCATGCCTCCTATAYCCTATTTATTTCTGACTAAAGAGGACATGGACAGAATTGGGAATGTGAAGCAAGCCACCTTCACAAGCTTAGTAAGTCTTCTCTCCAGGTCAGTGTCAGGAATTCTTGTCTGAAGATTCTTTATTGTGGTTCTACTGGACCCAAACAGGATTTAACCATGACATGATCCCCATTGTGGCACATTTTCATGAGTAGGTGTAAGAAAAACGCTCTCATTGAAAGTGAATCATGAGCCTGGGCTGCCAGGGATTTGGTTTCTCCAGACTCCTTGGAGCTAATGAGCAAGAGACAGAGAACAAACTCTRTCTTGCTTCTGAGAACTTCTGTGAGTCAAGAATTCAAGAACTTCTGTGAGTCTCATCTCCTCTGCAGAATGCTTAGTCAGATGTGATGAGGACTTGAGAGCGAGAGGCAGGTGCTGTTGCCTGACAATTGCAACTCTCTCATTCTGATTTTCAGCATTATCGCTCTGACACATTGCTCTTAAATTCATGTAGTAGAATTTTAAAAGTGAAAAACAAAACCCTTCACATTCATGTGACAAGTTTCATCAAAATAAATTCTCAGGAAATTATGCAGGATCACATTTATACCTTTTCACAATAAACGCATCATGATGTAAAAAAAAATTATATAATCTGAGTGCAGCTAAAATAAAAAAAAAGGAGAAAATGGGCAAGACATGTATATTTAAGCTCCAAACTATATATTTTTGTCAATTCAGAAAAGCACAATTTCCTTCTAGTACTARTAATGGTACTGCTAATCCACTAATCCATGGCTTGGAAACTGCTGCTTTCCATGCAGAGGGTAGAATAAACTGTCCAGGACACAGGAGCAATTCTTTTCAATATATACAAATATATATATAWAAGAGGAGGACAAAATTTTAGAACTACTTAGTTTTGGAATTGGCCTGAAAATCTGGAAGTTAGGAAGTCATTCGTAAAGAAAATGGTCATGGTAGCATGGGATTTCTGCGCAGCTGGAGTGCCACTGGTTCACGGCTTCATTACACCCTTTTCTAGCAAGCGTCAAAGGATAGGAAAGCAGACTGCAAAGTGGACTGCTATAACTGCAAAGTGTATTACAC